TGGATGGATGGATGGATGGATGGATGGATGGATGGATGGATGGATGGATGGATGGATGGATGGATGGATGGATGGATGGATGGATGGCTGACACTGACCTTGGGCACTGGCTCCAGCTGGTCGACCTGGTTGCTTTTCAGCAGGGCCTTGATGAACATCTCCACCTTAGCGTTGTGCTTCATGAAGGACACGTAGCAGGTATAGCACATCAGCAGACTGAAACTTTCCGTCACCGTGATCTGATTATCCAGAAAGAAGTAGATGAGCATGAGCAGGCCGATGATGTAAAACGTCACGTCTCTGAACAGGGGCCACCACGTGAGGTGCAGCACCTCCTTGGAGAACAGGGCACACATCCCGATCACAAACAGGATGTTGAACACGGCGGACCCCACAATGGTACCAATGCCTACATTACTGTGGGAGACGAAGACCCCAATGACAGAGGTAAAGAGTTCTGGGGCTGATCCACCTGCTGCCATGAAGGTGGCTCCAGCTACATCATCCGAGATCTCCAACTTCTCCGTGATGACGGTGAGCGCCGGGACAAAAAACTCATCACAAACGATGGCCAAGGCTATGAACATGTACAACATTCCAAACATATGAAGAGCCACGTAGCCTCGACGTCTGTCCTCCACACTGAAGTAGTCTTTTGGGTAGTCTCCTTTATTCATGTCCATGTGAGACTTCATGGCCACTGGTGTGTCCTCTGGAGCAGTTGAGAGGTTCTGGTGCTGCAGGAGAGTTCTCTGGGGCACCGCTGCATCGGCCGATCCCTCAGCAGACGACTCCAGCTCAGTGGCCACAACTGTGACCAGAGACAAGGCACTGAGAGAACAAACTGTGCAGACAGCCACCATGCTGAAGATGAAGCCTAGGATTCGACCGGGCCGCAGCTTCCTCTTCACGCCCTGGTAGTGGAACCGGGTTTTACTGCTGTGGAGATCCAGAAACGGATCGGAGCAGGAGAAAGCTATCATGTCTTGGCTCGTTATGGGTAGGATGTAATCCATGGTGACTGGTGCAGGTTATCAAGCAGAGATGATGCGACTGGATTCCCCCCACTACCCTCCAAAGGTGGGTTGGTGGTGCTGGTGACAACAAGTCGGGGGTTTGACGGGCAGCAGCAGTTCACCAGTCGATTTGCATGCTGCTCCCAGGTCTAAACACCATGGAGGACATGTAATCTAATCCCAGGGTTTAAGACCTTCAGAGGTTTCCTCATATTAATCACTGCAAAACAGGGGAAAAAAACATGAATGCTTTAATGTTAAAAGTGTGTATTATAAGCCAGCCTGTATGGTCAAAACAAATTCCCCAATAAAAAATACATTAAGGCATTAAAATATACTGGATATAAAGTGAGATTTACTTTGTTTTGCACTTTTATCATCAATAACAACCATTCATTGGTCTTGGCAAAAAGTAGAAAAAATAAACAATTACATCTTTTACTACATTTCTGCTGCTAGTTAATGACGAGAGGTACTGTACACAAACATTTGTTTGGTCAAATAGCATGTTAGTCATAAATATATAGTTACCCACTTATTTTTGTTGAGGGTTTGAATGATGCCTCCCTGCAGCGGTGCAGGTACTCATAAGACCGAGATAAACCAGTTCTTCATAACCATTGATTTAACTTTGGATAATACAAGGAGTTTTATATTTTTTCTGATAACACCTGCTGTTTTTCATAGGGACATTGTTTAAAGTGATTCAAAGAATGTTATATTTGCCTGTAGAGCAACTTTACACTGAGACACAGAAACAACTTTAACTTTAAGTTAGGTATGCTATCAGCATTAACATTGGTATCAGCTGATATTGGTCATTTTTCAGAATATCAGTAATGGTATCGATCTGATAAGTAAAACTGGGCCGATATTAACTTCTGATTCTGATTTCTCACTTTTTAGCTTTGTGTTTCTGTTTTGGGAGTGGAAAAGGTTGGTTGAGTGGTATCTGTTTGATCATGACAGTGTTAGTGATGCTGCTCAGCCAGGAATAACTCAAGCAGAGAGCTATGTCAGTGGTCTGGTCTTTTTTTTTTAACAGTATCGCAAAAAGACACAAGTGTATTTGTGGTTATGTGTATATAAATAATTTTTGCGTGGTGTAACATTGGTAAGTATCGGTTATCAGCCATAACACCAATAATAATATCAAATATCAATATCGGCTAAAATTTTTATATCGGTGCATCCCTACTTTAAATGAAACCTTCTAAATTGAAACTTCTTAATCAAACGTTTTTTTTTTACATTTGTATATTTCAAACTTAATTCCACACATGTAATCAATACAGTGCAGATTGGCAATACGAGGTAAGTAAGAAAAATGTAAGACAAACTCAGGACTCGAAAATTCAAGTAATCTGAATCCTCGTTGCAAAACTGAAAATTCAACTTTATAATACTGAAATTACCAGAACCTAAAGAAATCTCTCTACACAAAGAGCAGAGCAAAAGATCTGCTGGGTTTTATTGTTTTTGTTCCCTCAGGATGTGATAATAAGAGTTCATTCAACACATGAGTCCTAAATTTCTCTAGAGCTTTTGTGGCATTTTTAGTCTGAAGGAAAAACAGTCATGTTCTAAAAAAAATTTCAAGTTTTATCAGGAAATAATAAGGTTTTTTTAACAATTCCTTAATAAGAAAATAAGTTTTAAAAATGCCCTCTGTCCTGATAAAACTAAATGTGACTTTCTTGACACAGTATTATTATTATTATTATTATTATTATTATTATTATTATTTATTTGATTTTGTAAGGAAAGCTAAGAGGAGCCATTTTGCATGTGATTAGCACCCAGTTAAAAAAGCCAGTATTTGTTATACTTCAAGTTTGCATCTGTACAGAAAACACAGACTCTATAACCTGCAAATGCAACAATATTTCTGAATCRTGAATGTAAGTCCTAAAGCATTGGTTTTGTTTCTGCAGTTAAAAGAAATAAAATTAAACTTTGACTAAATAACAACGTGGATTTAAAATAGAACAGTCTCTGTGTTTAAAACTGAAATGTTCTTCAATAAATAAGCAAGTATTAGAAGTGTTAGAAAGACAAAAATACGGCTGAATTTCTGAGCAGCAGCAGCTCTTACATTTTTTAAAGAGAAATAATAAATATGCTCTTGTGATTATCACCCTATTTCTAATTTAAAAAACAAGGAGATTTTCCAGTTTTAGTGCCTGATCTTTATATTAGTATTAAAAGCTGGATTCAGATGTTTTGCAGGTAATTCTCCTCTAATTTAACTAAAGTTTTACTCTGAAATTTAGGAAACTACAGTGTTCTGCTCAAGTTAAACGGTCAGTTAAAATCCTTGTGTCCAATGAGCCCTGATATTTTGTTCTAGGGAGCAAAAAACCTGAGTTAATTGCAGATTCAGAAACAAAAGTTTGAACAAAAGAAACAACTTTGTTCATTTATGACACTGAAAATATGCAAACGTTGGGTTTTCTGCAAGTTGGTGATGCAATAAACTAATCTCGTGGTAAGATTATAATTCTGAATTACACAAAAGCATAAATGATCAAAAAGGTTAGATTTATTCAGTTGATTTAAAGTAAATGCTCAGTTAGAAATAAAGCTATTAATAGTAACAGTTGTGTAAAAGTGACAAAGCTTTGCTCTGCAGAGAGCCTTCAGAGGGAGCTCTCCTGCAGTTGAAGCTGGGACTTTAGTAAAAGCTCATTAGGACACAGTTTAATCCCTGAGAAGATATACTTAGATTAACCTGAGGCCCTGCTTGCCACAAAGTCAAAAAGCAAACTGACTAAAATTACAACACACTACCACTGGTGTAGATATTATTTAAACCAAAACAAGCAACATTTTACAAATCCTCTGAGATTCTTTCAACTCTGCCTGGTTTTAAGGTCCAGTAAAACATTATTATCAGTAATTATAAATAATTTTTAAAGGTTTCTAAATTATACAATACAACTCTTCTGTTGAAGCAGATTTGAATTAGTTAACTGAGCTCCTTCTGGAAACTTCAAAAATAAAGACACACTTCAGAACTGTTCTCCTACCACTCTTGGTTCTTTCTTCTTCTGCAGGAAGCCGTCCAACAGGCAGCAGCCGGACAGATCCAGAGTTCCTGAGGAAATATTCCTGTAAAATGACTTCCAAAGCAGCACAATCCTGAGCAAGCTACTGTTGGATCTGAAGGTCCCAGCGGTTAATCCTCGGCGGGATTTTCATGTGTGAGCAGAGGTGGAGCTCTGAGACACGAGCTCAGAGAGAGACAGAGACACTCCCCACCACCCCACCCCACTCACTGTCCCTCCTTCAGTTGTGTGCCCTCACTTTCTTTCATCCTTTCTTTTTTTAAACCAAACAATGATGATCAGTGAACTGTCCAACAGCTCCCACTGTTAAAACTACAAACTTAGAAATGCATGATTTTGTCTGCCACGTAACTGCATCTCATTTTTTTTAACCAGGGCTTTTACACTTTTAAAAAAGAACTGCATAAAGGCAAAAAATGGACAAATGTATCTTTTAAATTATACTACACTGCAAAAATTGCCCATCTAACCAAGTCTTACTGTCTTAGACAAAACGTTTATCGTGTTTTGAGGCTGATAAGCAAGAGCCAGATGAGATTATTAATATAAGCCTGGAAATTGTCCTTATTTCAATAAGTCTTACTAAATTTAATTTACTTACTGCACTGATAGATTTTTTTGTCTTAATTTGAGATCTAGTAATCTAGATTTTTTTCCTAAAGTTTAGATGGCTAATTTTTGCAGTGCTTTCCTTAAAGCACCTGTGACATGCACATCCTTCAAATTCAAAATGTCAAAGAAAACGCCTTTATATTTATGAAACTTTGCATAATACACGATTTTACCAATTTTATTAACTGGCATATTTTATTTTAAACGTGGCTCAGCCGAAATGAAACAGGAAGCGATATCAAAGGAGAACTCTTCAAAGAAAAAAAGCACTTTGGTCTTTGTTTATTGAAACAATATTATTTTAATTCGGACTCTACTTAATCTCCCACTGATAAAGACTCAAAATAATCCAAAGAAACCTCAGGATCTTCTCTACCGTCTGTGTTGTGAGCCGTTGTAGCAACGCTCTGTTCACATTCAGACATTCCCCTTTGACATCACTTCCTGTTCATTTACATGCGAATATCTCAACAACTGTTCATCTCAGTGGTGTGAATTTTTTTGTGCAAAATTTTATCAATGTTATCTTTCCAAAAACGCGTTCATATTTATTACAAAAATCTGATGTTGTGGGCACTTTAAAGGAATAAAATATCACATTATCACATTAAATATCAGCACTTGGCTTGGAGTTGGTGATGATAATGGTTTTCAGCTACAACAAACTGTAGCTTAACAGCTATAAAACTTGACTGCATTTTGACAATTTTTGAGACCATTAAGATCAGTAGCTGTGGTAGCCATCTTGAACTTAACTGACTCCAAAAGCTGAGATTACGTAAAACCCACCAACTGGTTCATGAAATATTTTGCTAACCGAAACACAAAACACAGTGAAAAATTACATGATCACTTTGGATTTTGCATTTTGTCATTAGAGCCAGGGACTGGCTTTCACCAGAATTCACCAAATCTTGTTTACTCAAACATTTAACTTCAGTTCTAGTTGTGAATAAGAAGCTGCTGGAGGTGAGCTCATCCTGCCTTCTGTCTTTTATTTCCCTCGTCTGTAATTAGCTCTGAGTGCAACACCTGCTCTCTGCAAACACGCCACACAAGTTTTGTGCTCATAATTACACCAAATTAGGCCTGATGGGAGTATAAAAACATAATGTAAACAGTGTATATGTTTAAGTAAAATTTAATTAAATTGTAAAATATGCATTGATTAATACATTGATTTGTTCGTTTTAAGTTGTTAATGTTTCACACTGCGGCACGGTGGAGAAATTTAATGGAGTGAAGCTCAGCCCTGGACATTTCTGTCTAGAGTTTGCATGAATGTCAGGCTAACTGGTGGCTCCAATCTGTCCCAAGGTATGAGAGTGACTGGTTGTCGCTGTGTGTCCCTGTGTGTCGCTGTGTGTCCATGTGTGTCCCTGTGTGTCCATGTGTGTCTCTGTGTGTCTCTGTGTGTCCATGTGTGTCTCTGTGTGTCTCTGTGTGTCTCTGTGTGTCCCTGTGTGCCTCTGTGTGTCCCTGAGTGTCCCTGTGTGTCTCTGTGTGTCTCTGTGTGTCTCTGTGTGTCTCTGTGTGTCTTTGTGTGTCCATGTGTGTCTCTGTGTGTCTCTGTGTGTCCCTGTGCATCTCTGTGTGTCTCTGTGTGTCTTTGTGTGTCCATGTGTGTCTCTGTGTGTCTCTGTGTGTC